ACTGGCTGACTCTTGTAAAATCTTTAACGTGTTTTCTACCCTGGCTTTGCTGGTGCTCTGCTCTCCAGGAAAGCTTATTTGTTTTGGCACAGCACTGGATCTGGCCTAACTCCATGTGTTTTTTCATGTGCCTGAGCTAATAAGCCCTCTTGGAACCTGTGCTTCTGCAAAGTGCTGTTCACTGACAGGCAGTTTGGTTCTGACTGAATTTATTAATTCCAGTTTGTGGCTGGCCATGCTGACTTGAATTGGCTCTTGGAGATCTGTTTGGTCTTTCTGCCCACAAGTTCTCCTCCTAAGAGAACTTACTATACAGCAGCTATGATACTTGCACAATGCTGCATCCAACATAATGAGCTTCGTGGAACTGAACGTGAGGTGCAAATGCAGAGGTGGAATCTGCTGGGGTCCAGCCTGTGTAGCGTTATGGATTCCAGGTGAACCTTTGCTGGCCCTCTGTAACACCTCTGAGTTGATTCTCCAGTGTTTCTTTGTCTATGCCATTCTGTATCACAGTTAGCTAGTAAGCAGTGTGCGGTATTTACAGGTGGTTGTGCCTAAGCTGTTAAACTATGTTTGAATCCATGCTATCTCTGCATCCATGGCATGGATAATAAGCAAGCCGAGTAATCAGACTGCTGTTAACTGAGATCAAACATAGCCTGTATAAATCCTTATTTTAGTTTGAAATTGGATTGGTAATCCTCTTTTCTAGGTTGCTGTAGTATAGTATTGTAGCATATGTATACTGTCTAGTAGCTCATGAAGTAGTTTAATTAATACTTCATTTAGAATGTGATGTGTTTGCTACTTTTCCATGGGAAAAAAAAAAGTAATTGCGCATGCTGCTTTCTGAATGGTTATTAATGAGACCTGTGAGTATTCCCGAACCCCTGGCTGAACAGATGCTTCAGTGTGAGGAAACTGCACAGCATCAGTGATCTAGTCTCAGTGTTGTCTGCTGTCCACCAGCTATCATGTTTTGTACCTTGCATTTGTCTTTTCTAGCCACTGCTTCATAAGTGAGCTGACCTTTCTTTGCAGCAGGCCATGTGCATGATAGGATTGTACCTGTATGCAGCTGAAGACGGGAAGAGCTTAGTACATTGCTGTATGATCTACTCATGCTGGCGATGAATTCTGAAAAAGAAATTACAAATTAATAATCCCCGAATGAGAAGCCTACTCTTGAGGTTTCACATTCATATCATGGAGTATGTCTTTTCAAGATGTATGTGAATGATCTTAGTGAATTGTTTTGAACTGTTTGCTGGAGAATTTCAAACTCATTCTTCAGCAGGGCAGCAGTATCTTCATTTCTGCAATACTTAAAAACTGCCAAAAATTGCAAGATGCTGAGAATAGAGATGGAGTGTTACTAAAATTATTTTAGTTTTCATGTTTTGATTTTAATTCAGTTTGTGCGAGGCTTTTATCAGTATATGTGTCCTCTGAGTACTTTGGTGCATATCATCAGCCTGCATGTCAGTTGATATACACAGTAACAATGATGACCTATCCAGTCGTCTGAGCTCTTGGGTTTTAGATCTGGCTTCCTTCCAGCTTGCATGAGCAACAGGTCTCAGATTCAGTTTTTCAGATGTTTGATTCATATACCAGTAAGATTATTTTGGGCAACTGCTCTGTGCTTTTCTTGAAAGATATTAATAGCTAATGTAAAAGAAAAAAAATCAGGTGTTTTTGGTAAGGAAGGAGGGATGCGGTTTGGTGTTGGGTTTTTTTTGTATGTGTGTGTGTATTTTTTAAGTATTGATACACTTCATTGTGATGCTAGTCTCCAAAGATGGGTGGATTCATTTGCCTACCAGCACTTTTTTCAATCTGTGTCTCTTGATTTAAGACAAGTTTCTTTTTTCCTCTGTCTGTTTCCAACATGTACAAAACCATTTCTTGACGTCCTTGAATGAATCGCAACTTTTTTTCATTGTTTTCTTTACTTGCAATTTACATTTGATATACTTAGGCCATTTTGTTGCTACTGTTCTCGCTAGTACAAGAAGATTCCTCAGTCCCAAAGACTACTTGTTCCTTTTCCAAGAACCAGTATGCAGAGACAACTTAAAAACAAGTTATTTCATAATGATGATAATTTTTCACACATGGCGTCTGTAGGTATTCATATTTCCTGCTTATCCTTTCCTTCTGTCAGACTGTTAGGTTATATATCCATTTGAATTTGTTTGCATATTTAAGTTGCTTGGATGGTTATTTTTTCTTTTTTTCCTGATTTTTTTTAAAAAAATAATTACTCTGCCACAGCTTAATTGAGAAAGCTTTGGTATAAATGGATAACTTTTATAGTGACAAATAAGTCAGCTTGCCAGTGGAACTTACTTTGCTCAAAGGCTTACTATAAATCATACTAGCAAAATAACGTGCTCCTGATATTAAGTATGTTTACATTAGGAAGGCTTTTCAGTATTTTTAAACCAGAGAAACTTTGAAGTTGGTATTTTGGAGAGTTCCATCAGTCACTTCCTCTTGAAGTCTTCATGGACAGGAAGGCTTTTGGGGGAGTGAAGTCGTCAATTAGGAAGGACTGAATGGTCCTAAAATGACCAGTAACTTGCTGGAAAAACCGTACAGTTTAGGGACAGAGATGCCGTGTTCCCAAGTGTGAATGTGCAGAGGTGATGCATGCAAAGAATGAACAATGGTAAATAGTAGCAGCTGATTTAATCTTTCCTGTAGAATCAATGGCACTGAAATGAACGATTATACCATGGTTATACATCCATGTTGGTTTTTGGGGGAGGGAGAGAGCATTCATTTTAATGACTGAGAGGAAGCCAGGTTCAATGAAATGCACATACAGTATCATATTGCTTCTAGCAATAATTTTGCTGCTGAATCTCATTTTTGAAATGCGGGTAGCTGAAAGCGTCTGTGGGATGTTTTTCCATTTAAATAGTTGGTTAAGGGGACAGCAGAATTCATGTCAGTCATTCTGGTCTATGTGTGAGTGCTGTTTTGTCTGTTTAATTCTACCTAAAGGTATTTTGAGGCACACTTAAACTGTACTTACAAAATATTAAACATATCTTTTACTAGATCTAACTGTAGAGTGTTTGGACTTACTCAGATTGGTAATAGATATATAGGAAGTCTGTCTCTGATACTGTTTAAGAGAATTAAAAGGAACATAAACTGTTACAGCTTCCTAATTTTTTTTATAGGGAATGATTTTTTTTTAATCGCTTTCTTCAACCTACTAGATCCTAAATCAGCTGAGAAGTCAAATGTGAGGCAGATGTCTAAAACTCTGCATGTTGCTTACTGATTATTATTCTTGATTTGCTTTTTAGATTAAATTTTTGCCATAGTGAAATTCCCTTAGTCTTTAGCTGTTTTGAAGGTCATGACTAATGAGTTTCTGAAGTGTGGCTCTATACTGACCATGCTCAAGGGAAAAAAAGAAGCTGATTACTGTGCTGAGGGGAAAGAAAAAAAATGTGGTTGTCAGTATGGCTTTGTATTACCCTTTGGATTCTTAGAGACATTGAGGGATATCTGCTGCCTTTTAAAGCTTGGCCTGGAAACTTCAGTGTGTGTGTATATCTGTCCTGGCACTTTGCAGTCATTATTACAGAAATTAACCTGGTTTTTTGCTTTTAATTTTTTTCCCTGTAGATTTGTTTATTTTGTATTACTTCCACTTTTATCTGAAGAAATTAATTAAATGTCTTTTCTTCCCCCTTTGCATACAGCTTGTAACAGAACATGCCTTTGAAATTCCAGACAACATTAGGCCTGGACATCTCATAAAAGAGCTCTCAAAAGTGATTCGTTCTGTAGAGGTAAGAACAGAGGCAACCCTACAGAAAAAAAAAAATTTTGAATCCATGAATTCCATAGTAGTTATGCTTCTGATTGACTGTATTCACCTTTTAATTTATTTAACGTTCATTTAATAATAGAAGATCAAGAGAAAAACTGTTGGGAATACTAAGCTATGGGTATCAGATAAAGAAAATGTATAGTGAGGGTGTTTTCTGTAGTTTTTTTAAAAAAAATCTTAACGGTGAAATTATTTGTAGGTCAGTATTCATACTTATAACTACTTAAAATAATTACTGTGAATATGTTGTTAAAGAGTTTAATTTGAAATTCTGTGCGTATTCCATTCTTCTACCCTCTTGTTTGTTAGATTCTGGTCCATTTGTCATCTCTTTTGCTCTTTTTCTTATGTTTTGTGAGTATTTGTTATATAGTCAGTGGTTTTTTTCTTTCTTTTCCCCCCTCCTATACCAGTGTTTTCCTCCTTTATTCCTTAATGAATACTGATTCTTGAAAAATTCTCACATTTCCATGTGGAGAGAACAGTTCTGAGAACTGAAGAGAAATGTGATCTGTTGGGTACAATACAGGTCTACCCTATGCTGCCTTCATGAATAAAACCTTATGTTTTGATGGTAACTTTTGGTGTTAAGCACTACTATTACGGGAGGGTATAAAAGTCCCAAATGGGAAAGAGATGCAGTAGTACTAAGCTTTGTACGTCAAATCCATAGGAAATATGTAGTACTTCTCTAAATGGTCTAACAATTTTATTTATCTAATTTACATTTGATTAGATGAGTAAGAAGCAGTACTTAAATATGTGGATTTATTCCTCTGAGACTATTCTGAAATATGTGTTTTTAATTAAAGGAGGAAAACAGCAAACTAGTTAAAACTCAGGGAATTCTTGGTGTGTGTCCAACTTCACGGTCCTCGCATGAAACAACTTCCCCTCACCACTCCAGACGAAGGGTGAGGAAACTGCGAGACCATGCTACCAAAACTCCTTCTAATCTGGACATCCTGGAACTGCACACTAGGGAGGTACTGAAAAGGCTGGAGATGTCACCATGGGAGGAGGCAAGTACTAAGTTATGCGCAAGGAAACAAAGCCGGAGTAGGTTTTTAATCTCTGTCGAAAGGGGAAAAACTTTTAACATGCATAAGAATACAGGCTACTACTCTTTGTCGTATGAGGCGTGAATAGACTTCTCTTTTGGTTTCTTTGAGTTTTCCTGATAGGAGTTTCTCTCTTCCTTGATAATTTTTTTGTGGAAGTTCCTTCAACCTTTTGGTTCAGAAGGTGCCCTGAATCTGTGATGTACTTTAAGTATGGTTTTTGACTTAGGGCTGCTGTGGCTATCAAGTGCTACTTTGAATCAGTTCTGTGAAGAAAAGGTAGCTTGCAAAGGCTTGATTTGGTGAGGCTCTGAGCCAGCCTGCTTCTCCATGTGTTTTTAGATAGCTTTTTCTTATAGTTCAGTTACTGTAATTTGGTTAGCCTTGGTTTTAGGTTATGTTCCTATTTCCTGTATGACTATACCTCCCTACCAGTAAGCCTAAGGCCACCTTTGGTCTCCGTTGTGGGTCTGTGGACTTTGTGGTCATGTTATAAAGGTATCGTGGAGTGAATGAGTGAAATGTAGTCTCTTGAAAAATTCTTTTGTTCAGGTTTGATGACCTTATTTCAAAAAACAGCAACAGAAAAGGGAGGAGTGAGAGAATGGAAATAAGTAGCTTTATGAAAGGAAATAAGTAGCTTTCAGAGAACAAGAAATGCTGACAAATTTAGCTGGAACAAGATGAGCTGTCACAGTGGAGAAATAGTGGTGAAAGAGAAATAGGGTCCTTGTATTGGTATTTGTAAGGCATGAACAAGAGACATTCATTTAGCCTCCCAAAGACAGGAAGCTGAACTTAAAATTTACCTCAAATAGTTAACCTGTGCAGTTCATTGCTACACAGAAATGTTTAGAGGTATTAGTCGTTGTCATTTAATGTCATAGAAGTTCATTTATCAGTATTGGCTTGTAAAAAAAAAATAAATTTACACGTTCATGGTTTGGCACACAAGTATATCACCAATTGCTTCAGAGCATATGTCAAGTGTAAATTGTTTTAAGCTAAGAAAGTTCTGCTTGTGGCAGGTTACTTTCCATTATTGATGTTTTACTGTCCTATAAATCAGTTCTGGGATACTAATTCTAGGGACCAGATAACTTAATCTAGGAGTTGCCTTATCAGTTCCAAGCCCGGTTTTTGGCTTGCCTGTCTCTGTTGGTATTTGTTTTAAATACAATGATAATTCTCCAAAGGAAACATAAAAGGAGTGTTATAGTGAAGTTGTTTCAGATGCTTCAGGAGAGTGTAAGTGATTAAAGGAAGGAGAAGATGCAATCTTCTGGTTTTTACATCCAAACATGTTTTGTCTGAGCTTTCTTCAGTTGGTTATCAGGTAGGAAACCATACTGGTGCTGAGTTTAAGCTTTTGTGGTATGCAGAAAAAACAATTGGATTTATAGAAATAGATAATAAGCAACATTGCTTTTATTTCTTCAGGATATCGCAAGCTCGAAACTGAATGGGAGATTTAACAAGCCGTTTCAGCCATCTTCTACAGTACCTGAATGGCGAACAAAAGACAATGATCTTCGCCTTCTGCTGTCAAATGGAAGAATAATTAGGTATAAAGGGTTGATTGTGGATCGCTGTTTCCTGGCTGTTATGGTCTAGACCATGCTAATAACATTCTGTTCTGTTCGTGGAGCTCTTAAGTTCCCTTTCACCAGCAAGAGTTATGCTAGGAATAGAGAAGGAATGTGTTGTCTGTTGTGTCTGCTGCCCCCTAGTGGAGCAACAGTTATGGAGTGAAGGGGAGGAGGTTTTTTACAGGTTCCTTTGTTACAGCATTTCATTCAGTTGCTCAGTTGGGTTTGTACTGAAGGGAATGCTTCAAAGAAGAAATGGTTGTTTTGTATCCGTCTATTAGAGTGATTCTCATTAAAAATATTCTGGTGTAAAACTTTATGTGTTTATGGAAATGGCAATTGTAGAGGGAGTAAAACAGGGAATATGTACAATTTGGAATGAAGAGATGAGCATAAGGGAACGTTCCTGTTGTATCTTGAGAACATGTTATAAATAATGAAAAGAAAATAATTGCTTCAGGTTTGTAAGAATATATGATTTTTTTTTTTTTCTTGTGAGACAGAGATGAGAGACGCCCATTTACAGATCGAAGTCTTTACACAGCAGATAGTGAAGATGAAGATGACAGGACAAGGTCAAAAAAGACGACTGTTAAGGTAGAAGACCAGCCCTCAGGATCTGAAGGAGAAGGGAATGCAGATGCCCAGAAACCACTGAACAGTAAGCTTGTTTCTAAGTCCTATCAGTTGAACATTTTGATGATTTTGAAGAGGGTCTGACTATTGTGAAGTCTGACTGAAATTTACTGAAGTATAAAGAGGATAAACTAATAGATCAGAGAAGTAATATTAGAAGTTACTACAAAACATTTGTCAAATATTATCTGTTTACTGAAGAAGCTAACAGGATAGAGCTGAAAAGTAAAACTAACCTTCTTATATTAGTGACATCTTGAGAACTATATACAGCATTTTTCAGAGTGGAGGTTTAACTGGTGTTCTTAGATGAGTATGTGTTCTTTTTGGTCTGTTCCATAATGTAAGAATGCTGATTTTTTTGACCAAAATTACTTCAATGTGAAAAGTTCATCACATCAATCACTGTAGAGAATAAAAGATCATACCATGCAGCTAATTTTAAACCTATCTTGTTTCACTTTTCTGTTCCATTTGGTGATTACATACTTGATCATACAGTTCTGTGTGTTTTGCTAATGAGTAGGGTTATTCCATACAAGTGATAAAACATAATTTAGCATTAATGAAATCTTATACTTTCAACCTTTACAGTAATCTGCAAGGCTGTGGAAAAATTTAGGTTGCCTGTAAAGCACTTTAACCCAACTTCCCAATATTTTAAAACATCCTTCACTAGGAGTTAATCTTTTTTTGTCTTTTTGTAGCCTCAAGACTTCTTGCCAAGTGTTCATCAGTGCTGATCACACAGTGTATTAGTAAAGTATCAAAACTGAATGCCTGTTGTCAGTGACTATTTTTAATAGCACTATCTTTGTGCAGTGACAAATTAGTCCTTGACGTAGCTGTTCAGCTCTCCGTTTAATTATAAAAGTCACATCCTTTCACAGTAGAGCTTACAAGGGCTCAGAGGGTATGTATTAGGAAACTGAGGTCAACATTTAAAAAAAGATACAAGACTCCTTTTGAGACTTACAGTTCCCTTAGTTTCCTGCACAGCAATCCCTAACAACGTTTCAGTTGTTGTCAACCTGGATAAAATACTTAATTATTGTCATTAACAAAACGATTTTTAATCCCTGTTGACTCTGTCCAAAGGTCACAGAGGACAGTATTAAAAAAATTGCACAGGAAAGAAGTCCCTCTTGGGTACTCATGAACCAACAAGGCAAATGGCTTGTTGAGTGCAGGCTAGGCATAGGTGTTTCAAAACTAAATGAAGTAAATTCAACTAAGTTTTACACTTGAATCAAAGGTTGGATCGTATAGATAAATGGTAGATTTTCTTCAAAACTGTTGCTTTTATTTGTCACAGAATGAACATGGCAGTGTGTACTTAAATGTAAGAAGTGTACTTAGAACCAGAAGTGAACGTTGAGATTGTTCTTCCAGAAATTGAGTACTTGGGACTATCGCTAATATTTTTAATTGAATAGTGAGAGTCTTCAAACTTCACTATTAAT